CCAGCAGGTAACCCCGGCCCGGCTCTCCCTCCCCCTCTGATTTTCTTCCCCACCCTCCTGGATGACCCTTTCCCCTGTTCCGTCTCCCCGTTTTCCCCGGCCCTGCCTCTTTTCCCTGGCCCTCCTTGTTCCATCTCCCCCACTTGGACTTGTAGACCGCTGGCCGCGCCGCTGTCTCGTGCAGCCCGACTGCCCTCCCCTCGCCCGACAGCCTGTGCGCCCCAGGTCTGCCCGCGGCACCTTTCGGGGCTCTATCTCGCTGCTTCTCCCGGCCCTTGATTCCCTTCGGACCTGCCCCCTGGGGCTCCGGGGAATGAGGGAGTCCTAGTCCTTTCCTGGTTCCCCCCAGTTCCTCGCCCCCCCAACTCTGGCCCCCTTTCTCCTTCTAGCAGTCTCTAGGGGTGGGGAGAAAACCGGAATTTGGGGGGCCCGCTGGAGGGGCAAGGGGCTGTATGTCGCTGGGGAAAGGGGCTGTGTGTGCGAGGTGGGGGTGAGGGGCTATTAGAAGCCAGCCATCTCTCTCTGTTGTCCCTTTAAATGGGTCCCTCACATTTCTGGGGACCCATGTGGGGGAGATGGCAAGCCGCCTGCCTGGGGGGCAGGGCCCTTGGTTCGTTCACACAATCAGGGGTGGCAGTGATTTAAAGGGACAGCCTCAGTGTGGCCACTGCCACCCTGGGCTGGCGGGAGGGGGAGCTGGCAGGTCGTGTCTGGAGGCTGAGTCTGTGGCAGGGCCTGCCAGGTCTGGGACAGTGCAGGAGAGGTGACAGCCTGTCTGGGGGACACGAAGCCTGGGCTTTCTTCAAAGCCCCACCTTTGGGTTCATTGACTCCTTGGCCAGGAATCCTTGAGTGCAAACCACAGAATCTGGCAGCCACCAGGTGGGGGCCTTCAGCATGTCTCCTGGTCAGCAGCTTGGCCTGGGCACTTTGGAGCTGGCCCTTCAGCTTCCCCTTTTGTTGTTTAGCTGTGAGCACAAGAAAGCCCCAGCCCCTCCCCCAGCTCCCCCTTCCCATCCACTTGCCCCCCCCACATACACACACCCACCCCAGCTGTTGGGCAGATGAATTACAGCCTCCGGCTCAGGGCCAGGGCTGGTGAGGGATTAAAGCTCTGGGGCTGGTTCTTTAAATGGCTACTGGCCCCTCCCCCACACTGTGCCCAGACACCCCCACACCTCTCTGGTCCTCCTTAGCTCCCCCCTCCTTGGTTGTCCTGAAGCCTGCCCACTCCCCTCTTTCTAGGCCTCCCTAGCAACCCCCCCAAAAAGCCACATACACAAATGCTAGGCTACACATACACACACACACTCTCTCTCTCTCTCTCTCTCTCTCTCTCTCTCTCTGTCTCTCTCTCTCTCCCTGGTCCCACATTCTAAGTGTCCCTGACCCTGAAGGTTCCAGCCTCAAGCTCCCTTCTCCAGCAGAAGGGCCTTGCCTGTCTGGCCTCCCCAGCTTGCAGCTGACCACTGCCTCTGGCCTAGTGAGGGGCCTTGCATGGGTCAGAAATAGCACCTCCCTAGGGGCAGTGTCATCAGCAGCCCGGAAGCTTACAGCACATTGCATCATGGAGGCTGGGGGCCAGAGGCCCAAGTCTCTGAGGCTTGGAGAAGGATGGGGGCTGAAGGCCAGAGGATAGAGAGACTAGACTGGAAGCCCAAGTGTTTGGGTGCTTAAAGGCAGAGAGCTGTAGTTAAAGGGTTCCTGAGGGATGAGTGTGAGGTAAGGGCAGACTTAGATCTGACCCCTGGATGGACACCTGGTTCTTGGCTCTAGACTTAGTTAAAAGACCTAGCATCTCATACTCAATAGCTAGAAGGGTAGGGGGGAAGGCCTCTGCCACCTTTTGGGGCCACATAGAGGAAGGAGGTGATGGGGAAACAGGATATGGCCTTGGGGGATGGGATAGAGGGGAGGCTTACAGCAGAGGGCACTTCCAGTCACCCCAGAGTCACAGTCCTTGCTGGAGAGGAAGGCTCCTCCCTGCTGGGCCCGTTCATCTAGTCTGGCCACCTCTGCTGCTCACCAAGACTTGCCTGTGCCCCACCTAGGGAAAGAGGAGGGGGCAGAGTCCAGAGGGTGGGGTTGACTGCCTGGTGTCTTGATAAGGTTGAGGAGGAGGCAGAGCTGAAGGGAGAAGTATCTGCATGCCTGGGGCCAGGACTAAGGCTGACTTGGGTACAGACATCAAAGGCAGCTGGGGCTACTTTGGGGCCAGAGAGTGTCAGCAGGAGGGTCCAGTCAGGAGGAGGATCCTGGCCTGAGTATCCAGACTGTGGGCTTAGGCAGATGCCATAGCATGCCCCTTCCCCCCTACCGCCTGACCCAGGCTCCCTCCTGAAGGAGATGGTTGAAGGACCACTTTGGGGATGACTTTTTCTGGTTACCATGGAAACAGATTCTGCCCTCCCATCTGACCATGAGCCAGGTTTCTCCTCAGTGAGGGGGCAAGGAGCATAGAGAAATTCTCCAACCTGTAAGACTTCACCTCTAATTGGGTTTTTTTTTTGTTTGTTTGTTTTTGTTTTTTAGGTTCCCCCAGGCACCATGCCAGCCCGGTAGCACCACCAAAACAACCCATCGTGGTCTGCTGCACCCCATTGCTGGGGTGCCAGTTCCAATGAGCCAGGGGCACAACAAACTCCAGTTGGTAAGTCCAGCCCTGTGTGGTCCTCCCCCCTCACCAGTCAGCTCTGTACCATGTGCTTCAAGAGTGGTATGATTTGGGTTATGCCTACTCCTGAGAACGGTCCAGTCCAACTGAGTACCCCTCCACAGGGCTTACTTAAGTGGTTCAGCCTTCCTGGTTTATGGAGCTCCCCTCTGTCGCCTATGAATAGTTCAGCTCTCTCACCAGCCTTTCCTTGTTGTTCAGTCTTACAGTATACTTAATATACCAGGGATGGCAGGTTGTAAAGTTGACATGAGATACCCTGAAATAGGAATAGGAGTTTGCCTCCATAAGTTGATGAACAAACTGGTTTATAGAGGGTGATTAGAAGTTGAACTGGGAAATGCTGGAGGCCATTGCTGCGACAACCCGTTATTGTCATGGCAATCTTGGCATCTAACCTTTCCTTCTGGACCCTGCTCTTCTGTTCTCTCTCTAGTGTACTCCAGCATTTGCCCCCCACACCCAAAGTCTTACTCCTCTTCTCCTTTCCTCTCTTTTTCTGCCAGTTTTCTGTGCTGGCCCTTTCCCATTCCTCTGTAGGAGAGAAGGGAAGATGAGCCCTAAGCCAGGGACTTTAGTTTTCTGAGTGTTTATACCTCTCCCTCACTATGAACTGAGGTTCTTGAGAGTGGGGACTGTTTTCTTCTATGTATCTCTCACTACTTGGCATGATGGTTTGCACATTGAGTGCCTCAGTAGATTTGTGTTGAATGAATGTGTTGACTGAATGAACAACTTTGCCAAGAAATCCATGGCATCTTTAAGCTGCATAGTTCACACAGAGATGTGAGACAAAACCTCCTATTCACACCTTCTCTAGAGGCCACTGGGTATGTTTGGTAGTAAGATGGGTAGAGCTGAATGGCAGGCTGACCCAGAAAATACTTGTGAGAGTAAAGCCAAGGAAGAGAAAATGGCACAGAGACAGTATAGAAGTAAGTGTGGCAAGAATGTGGTTCTGGAAGAAAGCACATTTCTTTCCACTCACTTGCAGAATGACCTTGGCCAAGTTACCTAACCTCTCTCAGCCTCAATTTCCTCATTTGTAAAATGGGAGTGATAAAAGTACCTCCTACATTAGGGTTTAGCAAGAAGCAAAAAAAAAAAAAAAAAAAAAAAAGGTGCTTAACACAG